ATCGTCTCTGCCCGCTCTAAAAGAGTGCATCAGGTTAGCCCAGCCCAATAGTGTGACCCGTTGGGATGGAAAGAGTAGGGTCGTCGGCGTCGGGATGTTAAGTCGGCAGTGTATTGCCGAGATGAGAGCGTTGCGTTGCGTTGCGTTGCGGAGGCGAATGCGTAATGTGATGGCATTCCCGTCTCCCTCGCTTGCCTGCCTGCCTACTCGCTTTTTGAAAACACTAGATGAGTAGGGAGAAAGCAGAGCGAATGACTGGTTATTTCCGGCGTGCGGCTCGGTTTTCACTTGGCTCTCACTAAATCAGACAGCTCGCACAGACATCAGGCTACGCACTATGTACCTACGCGCACATAGTCCACACACATCCTCATCTCAATATCGCCCGCTCCCAGAGCACCGGTTCACTGGTGCGAAAACTACTGCAAGTTTATGTATCAGCGGGCTGGCAAGACGCGCATTGCGGAGAGCAATAGACGGTTCAGGGCGGGAAGAGGACGAGAGGATAACATAGTGTATACGCTAGATGAATGGTTATTTACAGTAGTACGCATAGCTCTCAGCTGCTTACCAAGACGAATTTTTGAAGGTTTTTTTTTTTTTTGGCATTCTTCCCGAAGAAAAGTAAAAAGTGACAGCTGAGGTGGACTGTATAGTATAGAACTAAATCATCTAGACTTAGATACTAAGCAGATAAAATAAGCCTCGACAAAAGTCCAATTCGCCAGAGATTCTTTATCTACAAACACACAAAGTTTTGAATAAGAGCATTTGCATTCACAGGCAATCGAGTGCTTGTGTTAATCGTACTAGTATTGCGCTTACACCATTGAATTTGTATACTTATACTTATAGGGGCCAACACGACACGGCTTGTCCGGTAACAGGCTCAGGAGGGCCAGTCACAAGACTTAAGGATCCTGTTTGGCTGCGGGCACCCAAGCGGAGTGGAGCACTGCCTATTTGGGTATTGTATGTACATCTGCATGCTGTGTTCTGTACTGTACGCAGTATGTAAGTATGTAGGCTCGAAACCTATTAGTGTACTTTGTACAGAATACTGCGTAGAGATGGTATCTCCAAGCATCAGCCCCTGAACCCGGCTCGAGATTCTATGTATATACATATACATAATGTACATACGTAGCTGCAGAATAGAGCTACGAGGCCAAAAGGATGTTGTATTGGATTAGAAGGACTCTAGCCGTACAGGCTAGCTAAATACTGTAGTGGTCTCACTACCCCCCGCACCTGCCTTATTACTCTTCGCACCTACCCCACTGCTGCAAGCCCCCAATTTACCCTGTCAATACACTGGGCTCGTAAGCTACAGGGTAGCCAAAATAGTATAGCCAGGTAAATACGCTAGTTACGCATAGATGTCCCTAACACAAGTTGTCGGAATCGCTCTACTTTAAGTTTAGAGTAATCTCTGTCTCTGACCGAGTATGGTCAAGCCGCTCTTCAAATTCCTCGACTTATTCCATTCTAGGTCTAGCTGGCCAATCTAGATATTATTATTTATGATTACATAGTATTCACAACATCGTTCCCACATTTTATCACGATCAAGACGGTGCTCTCAGGAGTTACATCGACTCCCTCACTCACTCCCTACTCTACTCTGTACAGTACCTACCTACCTATACACACCCGTTGGCCTCTTTTTCCTCTCCGTTGCGCGCTTTCTGGTGGGTAGGTTGATGCGCACTTATAGTACATTATACCTACTGCGCTAAAGGTTATTTAATTTCATAGTACAAGTGCAAGGATGGACGGCCTGTCAATGCCCATCATCGAGCAAGCCTTGCGGTAGGGTGGGTGTGCAATTGGTACTACTACCACCTACCACCACCTACTTTGCGCCTCGTTCTCATTTTTTTCCTCTTCATACCACTCCTTCCTTGCTGGCGGGCAGTCGAATACCTCTCTTCCTTTTCTATTCTTACGACTTTGGGGGGACTGGTTATGATGAATTGAGTTCTTAAACTCTATGTAATTTCCACGATCAACCGACTACCTATCCTGGACTGACTCTCCTATCACTTCTATTGTGGCTTTGAAACCTTTTGCTCTGGGTGAACAAAGGCCAACTACCGCCTACCCCTCTTCCTTCCCTTAATCTACCTGGTATGGTATTTTGACAGCAGTTGAGGAGTCTAGCCTCTTTGTTCGTGGATTGGGGTCGGCTGTTGCGCATTCCTCGATTCATACACCGAGGGCGGGATCAGAACACCCTGCGAAAATCACGCGGCACCACTATCGACTAGTTATTACGCTCAGAAGCAGCTGTAACTCTCATGGAGGGCACTCTTCTTGTACCCCCTGATCGGGGTACAATTCTCGGAAGGGCTGTCTGGAAGGTAACCATTGCGCTCTTCTCGCGTGTTGTCAGGACGCTAATAGATATTCTCTCTAGCCACGTTATGTTATCATTGGCCCCTTGAACCAGAAAGATGGCTACCAACCGAACCTCTCGCTCTCCCAGGTCCTATCCAATGCCCGTTCAAGAGATGGAGGCCGCTCTTCGAAGTCACTGCAGAAAGTTCCCATAGACACCGCCGTCTACTTATCAGTGTACAAGTCCAAGGTGCGCCCTACATGATTTGAATCCCCGGCTTGCGCTTACTAACAGAATAGCAGGAGGACACCGAACCTAACCTTCAGTATTCATTTGCGTCTATAACCGATTGCCAGATACAAAACGTTTCCCACCGAAAGCAAGGTCATGTTCTACCCACTCTTACGATTCAAATTGCCCCCGACCCGGCAACAGACAAACTGCGCAAACGCCGATCGAGCCGGACTACTGGGTTAATCTCGAGTAAGGACTCGGGCCCGACAACGTTATGTTTCGTGTCCCCTGAGGGGGCGCGGTACGGCTTGGGCGAATGGATGAGATGTGTTCGGTTGATGATGGATCAGCAGCAATCCATGCCTTTGAGCCCAATCAGCCCGACGGCGCCAGTATTTACTAGCCCATTTCTCCCGAAGCAAGATGTTGCCGAAAAGTCTTCCCCAATGTCCAATGCGAAGGGAAAGCTAAGGTCGAAGTTGCAATCAAAGTCGTCCGGCAGAACCCTTCCTTCGACTCGCGACCAAAGCTCAGTATACACCTCTGGGTCCCCTAGCCTTCGCTCTCGCAAGAGCGACCTCTCTTCTCACGCAAGCTCCATGGTACCGGCTGCTATGACTTTTGTGCAGCAGCATTATGCGAATTTGCAGCAATCTGATCTGCCTTCTCCCGCCTCTACCTTGGAGGAACATTCAGAGCAGTTCATAGAAGGATGGACAACGGCACAAGGGCGTTCTTCGGCTCTGAGCTCTCCTATTAGGGGTAGAGGGAGCATCAGCTCTTCTATTGACCCCAAGCAACCCAGTCTGGGCTCTAGCCCACCTATGATACACCGTGAAACCATTCTAGACCGGGCTTTCCAGATGCGGTGTATACCTGGCTCTGATCGGGAAATTGCAGGGGAAGAGAAGCTGACGTCGCTTGCAAGATTTGAGGCGCTGATGTGTGAAGCAGAAAATCGCCAGAGAACCACTGGTGGAAGAGGAGCAACGGTGCCACAGCCTTTGAAGAGCACTTGGGAGCATGACGAAAGTGACGAGGATGGGTATGGGAAGGGGTACGATGACGGGGAAGATGACGACAGTGATAACTATGCCTTTGAACAAAATGTCGACCACGATGAGATGGATGCCTCAACGTTCAAGGCGCTCCGATTCATCACTAGCCGCCACAACTCGATTTACAATGAGCCCCCGCCGCCGAGCAACGTGCCACCACCATCAGTGTCGCGGCCGCAGACGGCACACTCACGTAGCCGGCCGACAGCCCAACGGATGAGTAGCCATCCTTATGTGTCTGCTCCGCCGTTGCAAGTTGCCGCGTCTGCGAGACATCCAGAAGGGGCGGTAATGCGACGATCTCACGAGAAACGGCATTCTACCTCTGAAGTGAAAAATTTCAACAACTTTAACGATTTTACCAAGCGATTGAGCGGTACGAGCAGCCTACTCCTTGTACAATCAAACGCTAGCTCTGGTAGTCGCCGTGGGAGCGGTGACTACGACGCCCAGCATACACCTCGTGGGTCTTTAAGTCCTCGAGGAACTGCCCAGACTGCAGATGAGCGCTGCCGATGGCGTGGCAGTATCGGCGTATTTGGTAACGAAGGCGGATTTTTATGATTTAACGCCACCACCCTCGCTCTTTTTTTTTTTGAACGAATTTTGATCGGACTCCTCGACGTTTTACTAGGAATCCCCCGACTGTATTAATTACGACTCGGCCCTTTGGCCTCTTATGTATGACTTTACGATAATCCACTTCCGGCCCAGCGTTACGCGACATTAAACGGCACGGTGTGTCTTCTTTTACGATTCCCAGCTTACGACATGATGTCGATGCCCTTTATACACTTCTTTTGGCCTATTCGAGGAATCGATAGGACACAGAACTATACGATTTTCTGAGACGATTTTACCATGTTTGCAATCTAATTATCTGGATACTGGAGAGACGCTATGAGTTAAGGTTTTTACTGTCTGGAAGGTCTGGGTAGATAGAGTGGCCAATTGACACCTCGTCTCTTAGCACTAGACTTGAATATCTGTCCTTTTAGTGTCACTGGGTGGCTAGAGCAGAAAGATTCTATGGACAACCTTGTCAGGTCGGCTGGTGTGGAGACAGTGAGAGATAGATACCCCTAGGCGATATAAATACAGCGAGCTACAACCCAAAACAAAACGATCAAGTATACCTAGGTAGTGAAGGGATATGTTTTTGTTATCCACCGTCGTATTACAAGTATGTTTTCTTTCTGCCAAAGGGAACAATTGTATTTAGCAACCTCGCACGAACCCTTCCTCAGATTATCCCTTTATTACACTAAACGTAACCAAGTAGAGTAACAATCAGGTAGTAAGATTACCCTATCAATTTAATATACATTCGAATAGGCAATCACCAACCTGGCATTTTGCAAAAATGATGGACGAACGGGGATTTGAACCCCGGACCCTTCGCAGGCACTTGACTCTGAGCAGGTAGGTAGCTAATCTCCTCAGAAATGCAAAGCGAATACCATACCCCTAGACCATTCGCCCAAATGGTTCAGACAACTCGGGAAAGTTGAACGCATCGATCACGGGACTCGAACCCGCAACCCCAGACTGACCATGCTTAGGAGGTCTGTACGCTACCATTGCGCCAAATCGACAATGGAGAGCCGTGGTTGTTAGTGCGCTTTGTCAAGCACGGTTTGCGATTGGGGGTTTAGCTTGGTGGATTATGTAATAATGGGGGACTGTCATTAACTACCTACAATCTAGGTATGTCTATGGGAGAGAATTAACTATGCCATATATGAAACTATAGTAACTTTTTATAATGTTATGAGAGTAAAGCAGTAGTCATTGTTAGAGCTAAGCAGTTCTCCTTTTTAATTTTAACTTCCATCTACGTTTATTCACAGAGAGTAGCCTAGAATTAAAGCTAAAACCTAAGCAAAAATGGCAAAGTTGCTGTTTGCTACAGTGATGAACTTATGCTAACCGTGCATAGCACATATCCTGTAGACTTTAAAATCCGTGCTTTGATTAATATGGAAGGAGGTCTGTTATGTCCCAATAAGGGAAGAAAAGAAGACTATTTGTCATCTCTATTGAAAAGTGAGTACTATGCTGCCTAACATTCATGGTAATATGCACCGATACAAGTACTCCCATCTTACAATATTAGGATAGGGGAATAAAACCTAGAGCGACAAAAAGATCCTTCAGGTGCGTTTAGGATCATCACCGTCATTGATCTCAGCCTATCACGAACAAGCAGTAGTAGTTATATGCGCAGAGGCTGCACCAAACAAGGGACCTGCATGACGCCCGGGTCAGCTGTTAATTACTCACGTGCTACAAGGAGTGCACTTCCTCGTGGGCCGCTTACACGGCAGGTATCAACACAGACGTCTAGAAAGTTCATAGGACATAGTTAAAGCTTATTCATTGTAACCAGTGTTAACATGTACAAAGTAAACTAGGATAGTATCATAAGTTTATGGCATAAAATAAGTTTAGCCTTTGTGTAAGCCTGTAACTGTCTATAGGATTTTTTGATAGGTATTGATATAGTTAACTATTTATTATCTAGCTGCGCCGCCTGATCTTTCATATAATTATACCTCGACTTGTATATAAGAGGTACACGAAACAAACGGTACGGCCCGGAAATAATAGGGCAAACGTTCAAATAGCTCAACATCCCATAATCCTACGGACATAAGATCCCCTGCATTGCATGAGGGAAGGAAGCCCGTTCTGGAGCGTGCGTTTGCATCCCGAATCATGGTACAACAAAGTTACCGAGTGGCCGGCATGCAGCAGTGTGACATGCCACAAGATGGTCCGTCACATACACAACGATGCCTGTACGCCCAACAAATAAATAAATACCCCTTGTGGTATCCCTGGATTTTGCGACGGCGACTGCCAACACCAAGAAAATGCTCAACCTCGCAAGAAAGTCGAATCCCGGGAGACAGCCTCGCACTAGCGCCAACAAGCCTAGGTAGTTAGAATAGAATACTTCGCTTCTTGCAACCCTCACCTCCTTCTTGTATGTGTGATGATGTCTAGGCACCAGCGTTCTTCATAACAGGATTTTACTGGTGGGTATATAGAATATACCTTGCTATGATTCGCATTCAACCATCGGACGTTAGCTTAACAGGGTATTAGGTATGAATGCCTTCTATTTTACCAAAATATACACAACTATATAATTAAACCCTCGCTTTCATTATGACTAATATCCAATAAAAGAGTAATCAAGGTAAACGAACACTATGTGAATCGAAACTGAGCACTAGCTTACGCAACAAATAAGAATTTCTCAGTCTTCAGAGCCTCAGTTCTCTTACACAATGAGTTATGTAGACAGGTACCTAATCAACACTGCAAAGTAAACAGAATGACAATATTTTCGGATTCGAGGTATGATACGAGAAACTGTGTGCCTGCTCCATCATCCACTTGCCCTAACACCAACTAACAAACCAGCCCAGCCAGCCAGCCAAGCCAGGAGCTCCCAATGCAATGTTATCTATGTAGTACTGTCGTAAACCCTAGGGGCAGTGGAAGAATGCCTGCCACTATGAACAAACACCGTGGTTGGCTAAAGCTACTCATCTCAAATGACACCCGAAACTCCGTCTTTCATGTTCATGGCTACAATACGCTTTGCTAGCCGGGTATTTCTAACAGCAGACTGGTGGTATTCCCTCGCCTCACAATTCACTTGTGTGGGTTTGCCTGCTGGAAAGTGCGGATCCCCCTCACAATATTGTTTATGCTAAATCCCTTTACGCCTACAAACTCCTGACCAAATTTGCATAGAAAAAAAGTCAGTTAATTTCAATAGCCAGTTCGTCTTAACATAGCTGTCGTATCGCTCCGGCTCCTGTCCCTACCAGCGCCTTGGCGTACAGCATCGCTATAACTGGGAATTGGGGGGTTGCTCGGGCGGAAAGTAGCCACGGAAGCTCCGCGACTCCTTACCGGGGTCCTAATGAGCGGAGTATTGTCGCTCTCGGAGCCGCTGCCTGCGCTATCTTCATCGGATTGCTGAGGGCTGCTATACTCAGGCGGTGGGTGTGAAGCTTCGTGTAGACCTAGGCCAGTAATGTTGACTACATGGTCTCCCGAGGGCGCGAAGCCATGGCTGCTGCTACTACCTTCGCCAACTTCGTCCGTGGGAACCAACTGCGCTAGAGAAATATCCGTAGGACTTCTCTGTGGCCCTGGACTGGTAGGTGGAAGGACTCGGTAACTGCCGCTGCGCGTTCGTGCGTGGCCAGAATCTAGTATCGGACCCCGGTTGCTATAGGGCTGGAATGGTTGCGAGTGAAAATGGGGCTGCGATGGTGATCCTGGAGTCTCGTCCTTCCTACGGCCGGATTCAAGTAGGATGCTGCCTTGTTCGCTTCCGTATGGTGGCGGTGGTGCCAGGCTGCCAGTCATCGGCGCAAGCCCCCATTTCTTCACGTTGGCCTCGATGAAGACGAAGCCGGCCTGTCCGAAATTGACATGAACGATGCAGGGACCATTGGCACCAACTGAGGGAAAAAAGTTCTGTGCTTTTAACCCATGCACGACGTCATCTAACCGTCTACCATTGCGAGTAAAGAAGATAGTACCAGTCCGAGGGCGATATCCTACGCCGATAACATCCCCCTGAACGATCGGGGGGCCATAAGGCGTTGCCATGAAGGGTTGGTTATATCTACGTGCGCCTGTTGATGTGTAGGCAACGGAGTATTTGTGATATCCTAAAAGTATTGGTTAGTGGCAAAGACGCTTGCTGGGGGATATAGGGCACAGGTACCTGGAAGCCTAAACAGGGGGTAGGGTTTCGTAGACATTCCGATGCTCAATAATGTGGCTTCGGACTTCTCATATATCTTTGCCTCCCAATAATAAACTTCGTTTTGTTTTGGCACAGGTAGATTGCTCATGACTGTGCACTCTGAGTCGAAGAATTCGATCTCGGTCCTGCCTTCGACAAAACAGTTGGCGATCTCCAACTCTGGCTCAAACTCCCATGCTGACACGCCCTTCTCTTGAATGGCTAAGTATTGTGATAATGAAATATCCGTCTGGACCGACTCGGGTGGGTTTGCTTGTATAAAGGCTGAGAGCTAGTTAGCTCGGATCACAACATAGCATTGAAATATTTTCATCTCATGTCCTCCACATAGAGAATAAGGGGACTCTACCTTTGGCTCTGAGGTATTCGGTTCTCTGCATATCATCCATCGTTTCCAGAGCCTCCGCCTCCTCTTTGGCAAACGCCTGCTCATCATCATATTCGCCAGGCCGGCCGATCCGGTCGAGGAAGATGCGACCAGAGGCGGTGTTGCGGAAGAAATAGATGACGAGAAAGATGAGGGCGACGATGATGGCAGAGCCAAAGGACGACAGGAGTCCAATGACGATGCCATCTAGAGGGGTCGTCATGTTGGGCTTGTGGTGCTCGCGTATCGAGGGTGAAACCAGCGAGATCCAAGCCTGGGACGTTTCCGTCACCGAATCGCCACACTCATCCGGTCGCGCACTTGCCCAGGAGACGAACCCCGACGCTGTATCGAAAGAAAAATGGAACACGAGTACTATATAGAAGCTTCGAAGTCGGGGCGTGATCAGACCGTTGCACGGGTTTAGGCGGGTCGTGGGATAATGGAGATGATCGAAGTAATCGTAGTGTCGGTGGTCGTCTCAGTCGTCGGTGCTGGCACACTCAATTGCCCGACGGATTCGACGGTGGGTGGAATGTGGTGGCGATAAGGCGAGAAGACGCTACGAAACCGCTTGTTGTCGGTGTGGGGATTCGATCCGATCGACTGCACTCGAGGCGATGTTGGCGATGTTGGCGATGATGATGACAGAAACAGAAATAAAACAATACGTAAAGAAAGCAATGAGGAAAGAAAGCGAAGGATTTCGCTCTCTGCTGTTGAAACGACCGGGTTTAGGTGAGGGACAATACTTAGCAAGCCAGCTTGGAAGAGGAATGGTAGATAGATAGAAGTGTGTGTCAATGGTTTCGAATGGTAGGGAGAATAATAGTCGATAGTGAAGAGGGTACCGAGTATGTAGGTAGGTCGGTCGGTCGGTCGGTACCCGATGTGACCTGCTACAGAGAAGGATTGGGGTAGCCCGTAATACTCAATACTCAATACTCAATACTCAATGCTAGCCTACCTACCTACCTAGGTAGGTAGGTACCTACAGTAATGTACGCTGTACGCTGTAGAATTTAGGTAGATAAAGTACCTACCTAGGTAGATAATGGGGGATGCAGGTGGACGATACGTAGACCGCCAACCACATGCACGGTCTTGGTCTGGCCCTTCGAAACCTAACTGCCTCACGTTGTAGATAAGTTAGGTATTTCCCACTGGCTTCTGTGTCGGACTGTACATGTACAGCGAATTAACTTCGGGTTGCGCGGGAAGAGTCGTAATGCTGTGGGTACTTTCCGGATTGGTAGTCGTCTGCTGGGTCTATGCGTAATGGGTGTGGGTCAACGCCTATTCTGTATGTACAGCAGG